GCGCAGCCTGCGGCGGGCGCGGCTCCGAGCCGGCTGGCGGCGGAGACGCCGAGCGGGCCTGAGGAGCGCCTGCCCCGACTCGCGGCCCCGGAGGGCCCCGCCCTCTTCACCGAGCATGCTCAGTGCCTCCATCCCCCCGCGTCCGGAGGCAAGTGAATCTGAGCGTGCGGGTGGGCGTGTTTGCCGGCCAGCTGCAGCCGCTGCGGAGCCGCTTGATGGCGACCGCCTGAGGTGCGGTGGGTGGGCCCGGAGAAGGCAGAGCGCGGGGATATTGAGTCCCGAGTGCTACCGTCTGGCTTGCCCCGGCTGGCTCTCCGACCCCGCCAACCCACACCCGGAAAACGGGCCCTTGTTCATTACGGGACAACCCAGATGCACAGGCGGGAATTTCCCGGAGGAGACGTTGGGCCGCCTCAGACCCAGGAAGGTGGTGGGGAAGCAGAGCCGACATCCTGAAACGAAGCTGGAATGGATGTATAGGCGATGAAGCCGGCGCCTCTGGGAGATAAATACCTGAGGACGCCCGTTTTCAAAGCAGCCTGTGGGCCCGCTGGGCACAGAGCAGGAAGGTGGTCGCTGGGAGGGCTCTTAATCTTAGCGGAAGCAACAGTGGGACAGTTGGGGTTGTCCTGGCTGTGGCTGGTTTAAAAACAAAGGTCTGGGCAGTCGAGAAGAGTGACCGCCCCAGGATTTTCTCAGGGAGTGTGTTCTTCTTCCAGAAGCGCGGCCTTCCAGTCCCCCGAGACGCCTGAAAAGCCATTTAACTAGGGTGCCCTCGGGCTCCACCCTACCGGGCTGTGCACAGCTCCCCCCCCCCCCCCGCCGCTCCCTTTGACGGTGGCGGGAACAAGGTTACCAAGGCAGGAAAATGAAAGTCGGGCTGAGTGAGCGGCGGCCCCACCCAGCCAGCCGGCCGGAGTTTCCTCGGTTTGCCCGGCCGCGGCCGGTTCCCGGCACCTCCCCAGCTGCGGGGAAAACCTGAGCCGGGGCGCTCTCTGTGGACGGCGCCCTCCCGACTGAGCATGCGCCCAAGGCGGGGCTGGTTTTCGTTCCTCTGCCCTGCGGGAGGAGGCTGAAGGAAACCTTGCTTTTCTCCGCACCCTGTCTTGCCCTGACCCCTCCTAGCTGTGAGGAGTCAGGTTGCTCGCCCCAGACAGCAACGACCGCGCTCCTGCAGGGGAGAGGGCCGCAGTCAGCAGTACAACCTGTGGAAGAGAGATGCTGCATAGCTGAATCGAGGTTGCTCTTCCCTTTCAACTTTTTTTAAATTCAATGCTGAGAAAAGGCGCTTTCCCTCAAGCCGTGACCCGGCTCTTACGGTCAGATCAGTTACCATTTGTATGATACTACAAGCACACAGGTCGGAAGTGCCTTGTAATTAGTTAAGCAGAACAGATTTTATGTGAGTTTTCTAAAACAAAATGAAACACGGTAATTAAAAAGAGAGGTTTGGTAAAACAAGAAAATACAATGTAACTACAGACGTCCATGCTATTAGGCCTTTCTGATCCCTAAGATAATCAGGCACATCACTCTTAGGCACTCTTTCCCTTTCTGTGATGGATGCTTTTGGTGTTTGCCTTAAAATAATCTCACATGCTAAATGGGTTTCCTAGGGTTGCTGTAACTAAGTATCACAAGCTGTGTGGCTCAGAACAATAGAAATTGATTGTCTCACAGTTCCAGAGGCCAGAAGTCTAAAATTAAAGTGTTGTCAGGACCATGCTCCCTCTGAAGGCACTAAGGAAGGATCTCTTCCAGGCCTCTCCTAGCTTCTGATAGGTCGTTGGCTTGTGGTGGCGTAACTCCACAATATTAATGTGGCATGTCTGTTCAAATGTGGTGTCCTTTTTCATAAGGACGTCGGTCATTAGTAGATTAGGGGCCCAACTACTCTAGTATGACCTCATCTTTAATTATATCTACAATGACCCTATTTCCAAATAAGGTTAAATTCTGAGATACTGGGTGTTAGGTCTTAAACATACGAATTTGCTGGGGACACGCCTCAATCCATAAGACACCAATGCAAGTTACACACATACACACACACCCCTACCATGTTCCACATTCATTTTGGAGCTCTCCAGATCACTATTGGGCCTTTGCATTGCTGGTCCTATTTTTTGTCTTTCTCTTTACTTAACATTCATTAATCCCTTCCAGATTCTCAAATTCACTTGCTTCATTTTTCCTGCTTTCTTTTCTCATTACATATTACAATAATTTCTAAGAGCATCTTCTTTCATTGGGATGTACGAATTCAAATTAGCAAAAGCTGCTGAAGCAGCTTTATGACCTCCCACCTGACACTAGTTTAAGTGCTTTTTTAATTCTGCTTCAATCTACAAACCATTCCCTCAGCACTCCTACCAATTAAAACCACATGGCTGTCTAGGCATATTGCATACACCAGCCCCAAAGCACTGGTGTATGATGGTAGTGGGACCCAATACTCAATGCTACATGTGGAAGTGGGCCAGTGTAACATCTACCCTTTCACACGCTAGTTCTCCTCACGTCACCTTTTTCTCCTGTTTTAGAAATATGACCTTGTTTCATATCTTTACTTTCTTCCTTCTTTTTATTCAAAGGTTACCTGCATGAGGACTTCCCTAGCCATTTTATCTAAAACTTCAACACTCCCACTTCATATCCTGAATTCCATATTAATTTTTTCCTTAGCACTTATCACTAAAATAATAGATTTTTGCTTATTGGTATTCACCCGCATTTTAATTTAAGCTCCCCAAAGGCAGGGATTTTTGTCTGCCTTGTTTGCCATTGTATCCCCAGTGCCCATACAATGCTAGAACGTAGCAAGTGCTCAATAAAAATTTGTTTTATGAATGAAAGTCTTTTCATTCTTTCAAAGTTTTTATCCTGAAAGAGAGAATGATGTTAATATTCTTTTTTATAAACTCTAGTGCCTTACCAAGTAAAATTAGTTATTCAATAAATATTTTTAATGACGATAATGATGACAGCTGCTATTTGTGTTGTCTTCTGTATTAAACTATGAGTCTTCTGCTGGGTGCAGACCGGTCTTTGTAATAATTTATTCACTCAGTCAGTAGAGATTGACTGAGTGCCTACTATATTAGGCACCATAATAGGCACTAATGATAAAAAATAAACTATGGCCCCTGCCCTCAAAAAGCTTACATACTAGAAAAATTGCTTTGAGGATACCTCTATTTACTGATTACGTAAATAGCTAGAAAATATTCTCTGGATGTCAGAGTTTTCCAGAAATAAATCTACTAGTGTCCATGCTCCAGGTTAGGCAATAGTCAGGATTTCATTAGGCCTGCTGCAAAATAAAGGAGGACATTCTGGCACGTTGCAGAGGATTTCAAATTCTATCTAAAAAATATATTAAGTATCACAAATGTATTTGTATATCAAGTTTTTTTTTCAAATTTGGTTTATGATTAGGCAGATAGCTGTTGGCGGTAGGGGCAGAAAGATCAAAGAAAATGTTTATTAGAAAGGCTCACAATCACTACACTTTGGCAAGGTTTGTAACATAACTTACCTCATTGATGCACATAATCTTAAAGACGTTAAAAAATGATTTAAGTTCTTTAAAGGAATTGTACTGGGAGGGGCAGAGCAAGAGGAAGTCAAAAGAAGAGAGAGAATGTTCTTTAAAAGAATACTAGGGAACTGATTGCCTCTTCTTTACCGCGACCTTCTGAATATCATTTAAGGGAACCTCACTGGAGTAGCTAACTGAACTTTGCAGGGATAAAAACTGAGTGGGCAGTGAACAGTCTTCTACCTAAACTCTTTATTTTCAAAATACCTCTGAAGCTTAGGCCAGTTTAGGTTTGAACAACAAAAAGGTCTCAACCCCTGGCCCACTGTAACCTTATCCATCCCCACATATCTTTTATTTACTTAATATGTTAGCCATTTTCTAAATATGAAATTAAAATTTTCTTTTTTCATAGTCACCTAAAACTGACTAATATCTACATACTACAAACAACTATAGCCCTAGATTGTATACATTTTTTAGATGGGACAAAGCCCTACAAGAGCATCTGTTCTGAGCTCAGCACTATGCTAAGTGCTATAAGAGATAACTATAGGTGCGTATCGTGTGAAAAAAAAATAGGGACCAGTCCATTTTTAAAGTCTCCTCCTGTTAGAAAACCTCCTAAGTCTGTGAGTGCTGACATATAAAAAATAGTCAAAGATGGCTTCATAAGGAGAGGATATGGATGGATAGAATTTTTGTGGAGAGATGTTGGAAGAAAGGCATCTATTCCAAGAGAGAGAAACAGCATGAGCTAAGGCATAGATATGTCATATTTGTAAGACCATAAAAAAGGGTACATATCGGGGCACAGTTAGAAATAAGATTAGAAATTTAGCATGAGGGACAGATCGTGAGGGGTTGAAAAAGCCAAGCAAAGGAATTTAAACTTGATAAGGTAAGAGGGAGTCACTGAAAGTTTCTGAGAAATGGAATAACATGATGAAAACAGTACACGGGCAGGAAAAGATGTAATAGGTTAAAAGAAAGCAATATTTGTTGACAGCATGTGCCATGCTCCCTAGGATTTAGGTACTCAAGTGTGAATGAGACAGTTTTGGCTTGAGGAATCTGCAAGCAATGGCTAGGGTGAGGTGCGGACAGATTTGAGGAAAGGGAAAAGGTTAAGTAGACAAGACGGATCAAATCTTACAGGGCCTTGATGGCGGAGAAGGGGTATTGGATAGTATCCTGATGGTAGCGGGGAGTTATTGAAGGGCTTGAAAGTTTAAAGGTGGAAAATATCATAGTTGAATTTATATTTTAATAGTTGCAAAGTGGCAAGTGGCTAAGAATGAGATCGAAACTGGAGGCTGGGAAACTGTTGTAATATTCTA